CAACACCAACACTACACCACACCACTACCCCAACACCAACACCACACCACACCACACCAACACCACTATCATAACACACAACCACCAACATAAGTACCACACCAACACCAATACCATAATCAGTGGAGATAAATGTAAAAAAACACTCCATAATCATTTGATCAGGTTACATGCAAGGAAACTGTAACATTGCTATCAATAAATCAAGCTTCCACTTTCATCCATTTTTCAAATTCCCACTCTTTTATAAGTGGAGGTAAAGATAAAAAACACTCCATTTTTATTTGATCGGGTTACATACAGGGCAACTGAAACATTGCTATCAACAAATCAGGCACCCTCTTTCATCCATTTTTCAAATTCCCACTCAAAAATTAATGGAGGTAGATGTAAAAAAACACTTCTCTTTCATCCATTTTTCAAATTCCCACTAAAAAATTAATGGAGGTAGATGTAAAAAAACACTTCATAATCATTTGATCAGGTTACATATAGGGCAACCAAAACATTGCTATCAACAAATCAAGCACCCCCTTCATCCATTTTTCAAATTCCCACACAAAAATCAGTAGAGCTGAAGAATAAACAACATAATGGTAAAAAGACAATTGTAAGAGAAAGTTATTGAACATGGAAAGGCAAAGCCTTTCCACCCTCTTTCTTCCTTTTTTATCACAAACACAATGGTAAAAACATAATCCCAAATCACAAAATTAGATGAGGTAAACGAGATAGCCGCACATCTCAAAATGCACAGTATTCTAACAATAAACCTTAAATGATAAAGCAACAAATCACAAAGAGAAAACAAATCCATCGAAAATGAGCAGAGGAATTACATACAAAGCACAATAACCGAAAATCGGAGGGACGAGGGAGAGAAGAAAAGAAACTCGTACGCACTGTAGAGAGGGGCGATAGAGAAACTAAATATGTACCTAAGGTGGGAGAGTGACTGTGAGAGCGGGAACGATCGAGAGATGAATTTAGAGCAGAAAAAATGCAAGAGAGGGCCAACCACAAATCAAATGCTCGTGAAGGGCAGATGGATAATAAAATCACAAAGAAACTATGGGTCGCAGGGTCAAACTCGCAGCCCGTGTTTAAGATAGCTTTTTTAGGAAAAATTGTCGTGCTATACTATCCAAGCAAATCCACCTGCGTTTTCAAACCGCTCTGCCCCAAAAAGCTGCCCTAAATGGGCCCTTAGTATTTCTTTCTTGAAAACATGATTCATATTTATAGATCATAAGGGTGTCTAATAAAGTATAATGTTAATCCATGTTTTAATGGGGACGTTACAAGTAACTATTACACATTTTCATATTTGTAAAAGACTCTGAGACCCTTTAATATATGTAACTGACGTTAGTGTCATTTTGTATCCATAACTACTTGATGAGGATCATTTAATGGACTGTTGTTATTGTCATTCAGTCAGTTGTAAGATCTTCGGTCGGCGGGAAGGACTTTGGTTTGTTTAAATGTCTTTGGTCAGTCTCCTCAAGAAAATCCTTAGTATATTCCCTTTTGTTGTTAGGGTGAACTTAAATCATCAGGCAAATGAAGCATCGTCGTGATCTGACGAGCAGCTCCTCTTTGGACATGGGGTCTTTCATAGGGGGTCGGATAAATATTCAATGGGGCACCCTTTTCATTTATGTGAAGAATCCTAGGATTAATTGAGGGAGTTAATTAAAAAGGGTTGTCCCTCGAATTAAGTACCTCTTGTTCATTCATTCGACCGTGCTTCTGTTTGGTCAGCTCAGAGTTCTAACCAAATGAAGTGATGTTTATCATTTCCGTCTTTTGACTATCCTGATGCAATCCTTTAGTATCTATCAAGCAAGATCTGTCGAACCTTCATGAGATTCGTGCAATCATATTTTGTTATGTACTTATACAAAGAAAAAACCCTACCACAGTTTAGAAGATGAAAACCTAAATTCAGATAACACTCTGCCATACTCCACTGATCAAGCCTGAAAAGAATCCATGATAACTCGAGCGCAATTATGTGAATTAAAAAACTAATAAATTGAAAGATTAATTCGATAAATAAAAATATAATTTCAATAATATTATGTCCACAAAAATCATCATAACATCTAAATCTAATAAAGCTCATTTAATTCACAAATTTATAAGCATTTTAATTACCATAAGACCTTATCAAAAAAAATAAATAATTAATAAATCAATTTAAAAGCATAACCTTAATCACCTTTTAATACTACCCAAAATCCACCCTAATTGATGCTCAACTAAAAACCTATAAATTATAAAGCATTATATGTCAGTTGGCAAAAAAGAAAAAAAAATTTAGTAGTGAAATTCCATTGAGCAAACTAAAATAGTAAAATATAAGGTCATAAACCCTAACAAAGAAAAAAAAATTTAGTAGATGAAATTTCATTGAGTAAACTAAAATAGTAAAATATAAGGTAAAACTGTTAGTAAGGAAATGGAAGTGATTGATAGTATATACCACAATATAATGTTTATTAACAATTTATAAAAGATGTGATTTTAATATATAAAAAGTAATTTAAATGTCCAATCTTACAAGAAAGTACATAAGAAATAATTTAAACCAAAAAACCATTAGTATACCCAAATGCAAAACATATACACATATGAATATTATATTTATAAAGCTCATATTATTATTATTATTATTATTATTATTATTATTATTATTATATAT